TTCCAAGAAGTATGTCCTTAGATTATCAATTTGCTGGTAATGTCTGGACACCATACTGGGGATTCCTCTTCCTCCTTCGCGCCGTGCTAAGTGGAAGCGCTCTATTGCACTTTTAGGATGATGCGCCCTATACCGACGGAATTCTTTCCTGGTACTTATATCTAGGGCTTTCAGCTCAGTATCAGTCCATTGAGTATACCGAAGGTGTAGGTAAGCGTTGACGCTGCGTAGGCGTTCACTGCAACAGACGTATTTATAGCAGACAATTCTGATTTAAGAATGATCCTTAATCTTCTCAAGTATTCGTCGGTAGATCTTTGATTCGACATTTTTTGGTCTATGTCTGGTGCCTGGAGGTAGCCTAAGTATTTGTAGCGTTCATCCCTTTGCATATTGATGATCTCTCCTTGCGACCCTCTTACTTTATACCCTTCATGCTCTGTCCACTTACCTTTAGTCATGCAACTTATGCGGCATTTATCTAAACCAAACGTCATTTGCACATCTTTGCTAAATCTGCTCACACAATCCAACAGCGTATGTAGGTGATCCTTCTTCTCTGCAAATAATTTCAGATTATCCATATACCAAAGATGAGATAGTTGTGTACCATCCTCGGCAATCTTTACGCCTTTTTCTTGACTGTTTAACAGCGATGTTAGTGGGCGTAAAGCTAGGCAAAACCATAGCGGGCTTAGAGAGTCGCCCTGAAAGATCCCTCGTTTTATACTGACTTCTCCAGGATCTATCTGCGAGTCTGGGTGTTAGGACAGAGACGCGTTTTCCATTTGGACATTGCATAGGTCAATAGTTTCACGATATGGTTTTCTATGCCATAAAGGTGTAGCACTTCCGTTAACCATGAATGTGGAATACTATCAAATGCTTTCTGATAATCGATGTATGCAGTGAACAAGGGCGACTTCTTTTTTCTGGCACTACCCGTTATTATTTCATCGATTATCAGTTGTTCTTTACATCCTCTTGAGCCCTTCCGACATCCCTTCTGTTCCTCATCCAATAAGTTGTTATGTTCCAAATGATTATGTACTTTGTCAGCCAATATAGCAGTAAGGAGTTTATACGCTGTAGAAAGGCAAGTAATTGGCCTGTATTTTGCGGGATCAGCAGTATATTGTTCAGTTTTTGGGATCAGGTATGTAACTCCTGTTGTTAGAAATTCTGGGATAGTTTCCGGCCTCTCGAGGAATGTTGAGTAGCATTTCGCAAGTTGTTGGTGGGTGGAAGTAAATGCCTTTATCCAGTAATTGTGAACACCATCTGGCCCTGGAGCTCTCCAATTGGAAGTCCTACCTATTGCTTTCACTACATCATCCTTAGTTATGGTCCAAGACAGCATTGCTTGTATGGAAGTTCTAGCCTTCTCTTGCTGATACCAATGCGCTGTTCTGTGTTCTCTGGGTTGCTCCATATACCGCTCCAGAAGTGTCTTATGTCTTCTGTGTTAGGAAATGATGTTTTTCCTTGTAGTGTACGATCTGATTCTTTGCCCACAGATTTATAAAATGCTCTCTGATTTCTATGAATAGGATGTTTTGTTTACGACGTTGGCTGCTCTTCTTATATCTCTTCACTCTTTGAGATAAGGCTAATAGTCTCTGCTTTAGAAGGTCCAAAACTTCGACTATGGTTGGGTTTTCTTCAGATGTATATCGTCGCATTATTGTGTCCCCTTTCTTTTTCACTCTTTGGCTGTATGTCGGTTTTTGGTACTGCGTTAGGATAGCTATATCGCTCCTGATATTATCTATGTTCTTGCTTAGCCTCCTTTCCCAAGCTGGCTGCCTTTTAGTTCCGTTCCGACTTGTAACATCTGTAGGTCTCTGACCGTTTAGCTTTAGAACCGCGAACGCCCCAGCATAGATCATGGCGTGTAGGTCCTTAAAATCTGTTTGGTCGCTAATATCAGCAGCGATAATTCTGTTCATTTCACGTAGGTTTTTAGCTGCCGTTGGGTTGCAAAATAGTTTGGGTAGCCGAGGCTTTTTTGTCGGATCTATACCGTCATAGCTCATTATGATGGCTCTAAATTCCTCCTCCAGCACTGATGGCGAATAGCTTGGCGTTTCAGTCTGAGCGTCATTTGCTTGCTCTTGACTCTGCTGTGCATCATTTACCATGCCCAATTCGGTTGCTACTTCATGCCTAATTGTATCTATTCTCTCCGCTGGCAATCTGCTGTTCACAAATATAGATCTGCGCTGGTCTAGGATGTTCTGCAGTGTCTTTTGTCTTAACTGGGGAAATTTTTCTGTCACTAATTTATGCAATTCAGCACCATAAGGTTCCTGTGAAGTTTGCAGTTTGGTAATTCTATAGTAGCAGCGAACCACGTACTCATTCATTTCTGTCGTCCAAGTGGTTCTCTGCCGTCTACTATGGGCTGGTAACATGGGCTGGGGCGATGCGTCCACAGCAACATTATTACCAGCATTGACCGCTTGGTGGTGTTGTGTTAGGTCATTCAGTGAAGTATTTGTATATGTGGTGATGTTGGGGGGGGGGGATTATTATCTTATTATTATTATTATATTAATTATTGTAATTATTATTATTATTATAATTATTATTAATATTATTATAATGCTTATTATATTATTATTATTATAATTATTATTATAATTATTGTATTATTACTATTATAATATATTATTATTATTATTATAATAATTTATATTATTCTTATATTATAATTATAATTATCATTATTATTATTATATTATATTAGATTATTATTATTATTATAATTATTGTAATTATTACTATTCTATTATTATTATAATTATTATAATTATTATACTATTATAGTGATTACTATTATTATGATTATTATTATTATTATTATTAAAATTATTATAATTTATTATTATTATTATTATTATTATAGTTATCATTATTCTTATTATAATTATTGTAATTATTACTATTACAATTATTTTTATAATTATTATTTTTTTGATTATTATCATTATTATTATTATAATTATGATTATTAATATTATTATAATTATTGTTAATATTACTATTATAATTATTGTAATTATTATTATTATTATAATTATTGTAATTGAAATTATAATTATTCTTATTATTATCATTATTATTGTTATTATTATTATTCTTATTATATTATTATTATCATTATTGTAATTATTACTTATTATATTCTTATCATTATTACTATTATAATTATTATTTATTATTATAATTATTATAATTATTGTAATTATTATTATTATTACATAATTATAATAATTACGATTCTTATAATAATTATAATAGTAATAATATATACTAGTAATAATAATAGTCATAATAATAAATTATTATTAATTATTGTAATTATTATTATTAGATTATATTATTATTATAATTATTATTATAATCATTATTATTATTATTTATTATAATTATTGTAATTATTATATAATTATAATTATATTATAGTGATTATTCTTATTCTTATTAATAATTATTGTATTATTACTATACAATTATTATTATTATATTATTATGATTATTATTATATTATAAGTATTGTAATTATTATTATATTACTATTATTATTATTATTTGTAATTATTAGATTATTATATATTATTATTATTATAATTCTGATTATTATTGTTATTATAATTATTGTAATTATTACTATTATATATATTATATATTATTTAATATTATTATAATCATTGTAATTAAAATTATAATTATTTATCATTATTATTATTATTATTACTTTTATATTATTGTAATTATTATATTATTATTCTAACTATTATTATTTACTCTTATTATAATGCTTATTATATTATTATTATTATTATTATAATTATTGTAATTATTATTATTATTATTATTATTATAATTATTATTATTATTATAGTGATTATTATTATATTATAATTATTGTAATTTATTACTATTACAATTGTTATTATTATTATCATTATTATTATTATTATTATTATTATAATTTTTGTTATTATTGCTATTATAATAATTATCATTATTATAATTATGATTATTATTATTATAATTATTGTAATTATTACTATTACAATTATCATTATAGTTATTATTATTATTATTGATTATTATCATTATTATTATTATTATAATTATGATTATTATTAATTATTGTAATTATTACTATTATAATTATTATTATTATTATTATTATATCAGAGCCTACTCGTGGGAATAAGATGAAGCCTACTCAAAACCAAAACATCCAGGAGGCGCCCGCCCTCCAAAAAACGGGTAGTGCTGGGGGAGCACTTTCCAGTCCTTCAGCAGGCGTGAGGACGGTGGGCGATTGCCGCCGGTTTCTGCTTGTTAAAAGAGAAAGCGATAATTTTGATAAAGTGAGCCCTTTTGTTATATCAAAGACATTATATGGAATTGTTGGTGAAGTAAAGTTAGTGAGAAAGGTTCGAGAAGGTCTCCTTGTTGAAACTAAATCTACACAGCAGACTATGCGACTATTCCAGGTAAAAAAGTTTGGAGAATTTGATGTGAGTATTGAGGCACACCAGTCCCTCAATACCCGAAAAGGCGTGATTTTTTGCAGAGACTTGCTCAACTGCTCGATTGAGGAGATATTGGATGAACTGAAAGGTGATGGTGTCATACACGTAAGAAGGCTAAAGAGTAAAAGAAATGGAGAACTGGTTGAAACTCCAAATCACGTGCTGACATTTAGGAAAACTGTCTTACCAAAGGAAATCAGCGTTGCGTTCCATAAATTAAATGTAAGGCCTTATATTCCACCACCTACCAGGTGTTTCAACTGTCAAGCTTTAGGTCACACAGCTGGAAACTGTCAGAAGGAAAAAATATGTCCATGTGGTAATCCTCCACATGAAGGTCCTTGCCCGGAGCCCAAAAAATGCGTAAATTGCGAAGGTCCACATTCAGCAGCTTATATGAATTGCCCAAAACTAAAAGCTGAAGCAGCAATACAGAAAGTAAAGGTAATGGAAAACATAACATATGCAGAAGCAAAAAGAAAAGTAAATATAACCACTCCAAAACCTACTACGTCCTATTCTGCTGCCGTCCAAAAGTCATCAGAAATGAACATTCAGCAGATCATATCAACAATAATTCCTCATATCGAAACTGCAGTTAGAAACGTAATCTCATGTTCTACATCTAAGTGCGACCATTTTAAAGCCCCATCATCAGGGCTAATCTTCCGTAGAGATAGATCTGATTCTGTCTCTACAAATTTATCGGCAGCGTCCGAAAAAAGAAAAAAACCAGGGGACTCCACTACAGATGATGATTCATCTGCTCTGGACCCCAACTCAAATCCAACAAAAAACGGGGCAGGCCTAAAAGGACTGCCCCGTGAGTGATGCTATATCACTTATATCAACTCTATTTAAAAAAAAAAACTATTTATTTTTATTTATTATGTACCGTCCATCCCTACATACTATTTATTTTATTTATTTGTTGTGAAAGTATTTTATTTACATACATTTAAACTCTTAAAATTGCAATGGAATCAATCATACAGTGGAACTGCAATGGAATTGTCCAACGGTACTGTGAGCTTAGGCTGCTTTTACAAAATCATGATCCAATGTGCTTATGTATTCAAGAGAGCCATCTCAGACCAAATCAAACTTACTCTCTTAGAAAATATAACATCTTGAGAAAAGATGTTGCAGCTGTCGAGCGAGCACATGGAGGAGTTGCGATAATTTTACGTGAGGATGTCTGTTTTGAGCCTTTATGTGTAAACTCAGCACTACAAGTTGTTGCAGCTCGAATAACAGTTCCTGTAAAGGTAACTGTCCGTAATATATACCTACCTGATGGAAATTGGCGACTTGGTGACATCGAAAACGTTATATCTCAGCTCCCAGCACCATTCTTGCTCATTGGAGATTTCAATGCGCATAATCCCCTGTGGGGATCAGGACGTTTAGATCACCGAGGAGAATTGATAGGAAACTTACTAGACAGAGAAGATCTGATGTTGCTAAATACAGGAATGTCCACCCATCTGGCTGCTCGTTCCGGATCTTTCTCTGCGATTGATCTAGCGATCAGTTCAACATCCATAGCCGATCGCCTCCAATGGAGAGCTCTAGATGACATGTATCATAGTGATCATTTTCCTTGTATCACGTCCTTTGACATATCTAGAAGTAGTCCCCAAGTACCACAATACTGGTTGATGTCAAAGGCAAACTGGCAGCAATTCGAAGACTACTTATCAATTGTGAGTCCTGTACAAGATAATAACATTGGTATTCATAGTTTACTCAGCTGATACATCAGGCTGCGGTGAACAGCATTCCGCTTGGTGGTGGATCTCCAAGAGGCCGTCGGTTACCATGGTGGAACTCTGACATATCCGATGCCGTGAGATCAAAAAAGCGTGCACTCAATATTTTTAAGAGGAACTGCACGGTATCAAACATGATATCTTTTAAGAAAGCTAGAGCTAAAGCGCGACGTCTTATTCTAGAAAGCCAGAGAAAATCATGGAGAGAATATGTCTCCACTATTACTACTGAAACGACAGCAAGTGAAGTATGGAATAAAGTCAGAGCCGTGTATGGTAGACAATCAGTTAGGCAAATCACACATCTGCGGACCTGTAACAGCAACATCATTAACAGCACAAATGAGGTCTGTAATTTACTAGCAGATACATTTGCTACCGTCAGCAGCTCGGAAAACTATAGTCGCGAGTTCAGGTCCACCAAAAATGCAAGGGAATTACCATTAGACTTTTCAACAGACGTATCTTTAGCGTATAATGAGCCATTCCAACTGTTTGAGCTAGAAGAAGCCTTAAAAAAGACAAATCGATCAGCTCCTGGTCCGGATATGGTAAATTATGAGATGATCCGTCATCTCCCTCTCCATCTCAAGCTTACTCTCCTCAACATATACAACAGGATATGGCTTGCAGGAATATACCCAAAAGACTGGAAACTTGCAATCGTCATTCCCATTCTTAAACACGGAAAGGATCCACTCTTGCCTGAAAGTTATAGGCCCATAAGTCTTACTTGCTGTCTCGGAAAAATATTAGAGAGAATGGTAAATGAGCGCCTGTCGTGGTTTCTTGAAAAAAATGGCTTACTTGTTGATTACCAGGCAGGATTTAGAAAAAATATGTCTACAGTGGATCAACTTGTCTATGTAGAGAATGTCATCCAAAATGGGTTTAAAAACCGTCACCACACAGTAGCTGTGTGTTTTGACATAGAAAAAGCTTTTGATATGGTCTGGAGATATGATGTTCTATACCAACTGCACAACTGGGGCTTTAGAGGAAATCTCCCAAAATTTTTAAAATCCTTCCTTACAGACAGGCGTTTTCAAGTACGTGTAGGAAACACTCTTTCAACAGTCCACACCTTGGAAAATGGAATACCACAGGGATCGACACTTAGCTTACGCTTTTTGCGATTGCTATTAATAAACTTGCCGAGTCCATAAATCCGGTGGTGGACAGATGTCTATACGTTGACGATTTGTGTATACTATCATCAGGCCCTTCCATTGAAGAGATTTCTGGTAACTTGCAGACAGCAATAAACAAAATAAGCCAAAATGCCATAAACAGTGGTTTCACATTGTCAAATACCAAAACAAAGTGCGTACATTTCTGCAGACTCCAACGTCAGCATGATGGGCCACTACTTTATCTACAAGGCCAGTTAATTCCCAACGAAACATCTATGAGATTTTTGGGATTGATATTTGACTCAAAGTTAACGTGGAAATGTCATATTGCAGAATTAATCTATAGGTGTAAGTCAACGTTGAATGTTATTAAGTGTCTGAGTTCTACCCGGTGGGGAGCTGATACAGAGGTTCTAATAAAAATATACAAGTCCTTGGTTCTATCAAAAATCGACTACGGATGCATTGTGTACTCATCCGCTCGACGTACTGCACTCAATAAGTTAAATACTATCCAAAACCTAGGACTGCGGTACTGCCTTGGAGCATTCCGTACAACGAGAGCAGCTAGCCTTTGCGTTGAAGCAGCCGTCGAGCCATTAACTCTAAGGAGAAAAAGACTCATACTCTCATACGAAGTCAGTACATCTGCTACGCCACATCATCGGAATTTCTCTCTGTTAAGTACGTATGATGAAACCTATAATAGAAGGCCTACTATCACAAGACCCCTCAGTGTGAGAATTTGTGAAATATCTCGAGAGCTAAATTTGACTAAAATGCCAGTATATCCACTCAAAAATGAAGCCCCATCTTGGCAGATCCCATCTGCACAAGTTAACACGGAGCTAACTAAATTTCACAAAAAGGAAACACCAACAGTACAACTGAGGTCTCATTTTCAAGGTATCCTGGAACAGTACACATGTGCCGAAACCATCTACACAGACGGTTCGAAAACTGCCTCAGGAGTTGGTTGCTCGATTATCATAAACGGGGTAGCCCATTTATGGACTCTCCCACCAATGACATCGATTTTCACAGCCGAACAGTATGCAATTTTACAGGCGCTTAAATACTGCTAGATAGAGTCAAAAAGCAACCTTACTCTTATAGTCAGCGATTCTTTGAGCACGCTAAACGCTATGTCAAATCGTTATTCCCGTGATCCGTTAATCTTAGCATGCCTTCAGACATTAAAGGTGTTGATGGATGGCGACAAGAGGGTAGTCTTTATATGGGTACCAGGACACGTAGGTATACTAGGAAATGAACTGGCAGATCAATCTGCAAGGCAGGCTGCTGCCGCAACTGGAATTGACTGTACAATAGTGAAAGCACCAGACTTGAAAATGAAAATTAGACAATGCATAACAGAAGCATGGCAAAGACAGTGGAACAATGAACTTACTCAGCTAAGAACAATAAAACCTGATGTAACAAAATGGACACCTAACGTCAAGATGAGTAGAGAAGAAGCCGTCCGGATACCTAGACTGCGTTTGGGCCACACAGCATTGACACATTCCTACTTACTCTCTGGCCAAGGCCATCCAAATTGTCCGTCATGCGAGGCACGATTAACTGCAATGCATATTATGATAGAATGTCCAGCGTTAAGCAACCTTAGAAACAGTTTTGGTCTGTCAAGAGATTTCGCAGAAAATCTGAAAAAGCCTGATTTAATAAAAAACACGATATCGTTTCTGAAATGCACGGGCTTTTACTGGAAACTCTAATTATACTCAACCAAAATTGAATCACACAACGACAGGCAGCTAATGACCCAGTAGTCGATGCTGCATAATCGCAAGAACTACTACTATAATAATAGTAATAATAATAATTACATAATACTAATAATAATAATAATAATAATAATAATAATAATAATAATAATAATAATTACAATAATTATAATAATAATAATAATTACAATAATTATAATAATAATAATAATAATAATAATGATTATAATAATAATAATAATAATAATAATAATAATAATAATTATTATTATAATAGTAATAATAACAATTACAACAATAATTATAGTAATAATAATGATTATACCCCGTATCTACTTTTGAAGCTGGATCGTTGATCCACTTTCAAGGGAAGATACATGGGGAGCGTCGCCCCCACGGCCCCAGTCAGGGAGTTTCGGGATTTGGTAGTCTTGCTCATTCTACCAAACCCTGGACTTTACCCCCCTCTTTCCTATCCCTCATCCTTCTTTTCCCTTTTATCTTACCCCTTCCAGAACAGGAGACAACCTGCGAAATCCGGAACCTACGGTGTAAGGCGGACCGTGCCTAGGGGTGAATGGCTGCACGTAGCGAGTCTCGAACGGTGCCCTCCAGGTGCCTGGCAACACTGGTTGTACTTAGCCTTCCTGTAGTATGGGAGCACTGCTGCAGGTGACCATTGTTTCTTCCCATTCTCGTGGGACAAATATGGATATGTCTTATAACAAACAAACGGAGGCGCCCGCCCTCCACAAAACGGGCACTGGCACTGGCAACGAGACGGTGGAATTAATGCCCCGGTTCCTGCTTGTTAAAAGGACAGGAGAAACGTCTTCTGAAGGTTTTGACAAAGTGAGTCCATTTGTGATTTCGAAAACGCTATACGGATTAGTTGGAGAAATCCGATCTGTAAAGAAGATAAAAGAAGGTCTACTTGTTCAAACGTCTAGTAATGCACAGACAAAAGATTGTTAGCTGTAAAAAGATTTACTGATATGGATGTAATAGTTACCCCGCATATAAGTTTGAATAAGTCTAAAGGTGTGATCTACTGCAGAGATCTTATGAATTGTACACTAGATGAAATTAAGGAAGAACTAAAAACAGCTGGAGTCATAGATGTGAGAAGATTGAAATCTAGAAAAAGTGGTGTTTTAACTGACACACCTT